CTGACCACAGAGAGTGCCGTGTCTGTTGTGACGAAAGGACAGATGGCGCCAATGAGAGGAATGGAAGCGAGCAGCAGCAGCTGTTTAGGCCCTTTGCTGTGTTTGGAGGATGGAGGTGTGTCCGCAGTTGTCAGACAACGGGGATGACGTCAGGGGTGGCCTCAGATGCCGTTGGGCGGGCAGCTGTCCTGCCCTGGCATCAGGTGAGGTTGTGCACAGTTGCACTGGACACAGCTGTGGCAAAAGCTGGCTAGCAGCATCCTAGGAATGTAGCTGGTCACATCCTCTGTTGGCATCTGGTAACAATCGTACACACACACACACACACAGTCTATAGCTTTGCTGGAGAGCACAAGCGGCCGGCACACATCAGTGACCCTCTGTTCCACTTGACGGTGTCCATTGCTGCGGGATGGAGTCATGTCTGCATGCTGGATAGCCACAGCTGTCAAAGAAACACAGGCCACCTCAAAGCAGCATTAAACAAATGAGGCAGAAAATGAGAGAATACCCGACATTACCGTCATTCGGTTTACGAAGACATAAAGCACATAAACACAAGCTGTTTGGAGGCTGTATAAACTTTTATGCTAACACAGCGTCCTTCGCTCGTATGATGATAGCTTATTGGCATTTGTTTTGTTTCGCAATACCCCGAATAGGTTTATATACAATCGCCATCCATTACAGGCTAATTTTAGAGCCTCATGGGTACAGATTTCCCCCCCAGACTCAAAGGTTAAGTGCTACTCAAGGGCACTTCTGAGCAAAGTCAGGACTTTGAGGGAGAAAAAAAAACCTGCAAGCACCTGGATGAAAGTGTGCTTTCCTCACAGATGTCCAATGAGCTTCATAGCCAGGGGCTCTTTCAATCAAACCCATCTGCCAGTGCTTTATATGGCCAGATAAAGCCAGGGTACACATACGTAAACATTGCTTAGCGAGCTGCCTTGCTATATTCTCCCAAGATATGCAGTTACCTTCTAAGGAGACATACGCTACAGAATTTGAACCAATATTCAAACTCCACATGCAACACAAATACACTTAAAGCGCACTGGATGCTTTACAATTGACTCTGAGTCTTACGTTAGCATGTTGCTAAGCTAATAACAACACTCTGACAAGCATAAAAATACCTAGCACACAAAAATTTGTGAAAATAGTACAACTTTTTTTAGCACTGAAATACAACAACAAGACAAATATTTAAACTTGCACATCTGCTAAAATTGAATTACATGGAAGTCATTTTTGAATTTACAGCTTCTTTAAAATAGATTCAAGTAGGCAGCACATTAGATTTTATGAATTACTGTAGAACCAAGCTAGAGTAGATAATTAGATAATTAAATACAAATAGAATATGAGAAATAAACATGAACATATAAAATATTCATATTAAATTTTTATAAATATAAAATATCAAATTCATATTGGCAAGGTTTTAGGATTCAGTCAGGACACAGAGGCAGAAACTGACAGTATAACAAAATGATAAAGAGGATATTTTACTTGCTCAAGGAGACGAACAATGAACAGACACAGATTGAGACAGTAACACGGGCACAGTGCCCACTACAAGAGAGGAGCTGGATGTGATATAAATTTCGTCTGTGTGAGAAAGAGAGTATGGCAGATTCAACTTGAATTTAACAATGAGAATATTAGGTTTTTGCTAAGAAAAAGAAAAATCACAGTTACGACATGTTGCAGTCAGTCTTCCTCGTATTTGTCCCTCAGGTGTGACGCTTCATAATACCACTCAGAGCGACTGACCATGCAACGAACTTCTGAGGATTCGTTCCATTCTTTAAAGCACGCTTCCTAATCACTGCCACCAATCACTACTTCCGACATTCCCGCCAAGGACTACAAGATGTTGTCAATCATTAATCGTTCTCAATCAGGCGAGATTTCCACAAGGAGAAATCACTTCCTGGCGCCACGACGCAACCACCCCCCACCCCACAAGCCTTCCTTCGTGCTCATTGCTTCCAAATGTTATCTGTAATTGCCATTCGCTCGGCAAATTAGCTCAAATCAGATCATGCTTCTTAATTAAAGTGACATTTCAGCAGTGGAGGGGGTACACGTGTGGCTGCGCTAACATGCTAATTAGCCACGCTAACGTGCTAAATGATAAGTAACCTGTAGACCCTCCACTAGTATTTAGCTTCACCAAGGGAGATCTTCCCTAGGACCTGCGGATCAGACCTGCAGAGAAGGGTAGGTGGACATGACATCAACGTGAATGACTAGTTATTCACAAGCACCTTAATTTCAAGCTCAGGGCTGAAAAGACACATTAGGGAATCACTACATGGCGGTTAGCACATGAACTCTGCCGTCGTAGATATATAGAGTTCTGATTAAAATAGTTATGACTCAGGTTGCGAAAAAGTAGTCTCATCCCATGCATTTTCAAGCCGCTTTATTAGCTGTTGTCTTCAACGTAGAGTCGGACAAGCTGATGCTTGAGGTTGGAGGGTACAGCTGATGCCAAGGAGGCAGACATATTTATGCATAGAGGATTTTTTATGGGTATTTTTGCTCTCGTGAACCCTAGTAGTGGATTCTATAAAATGACTGACATTGACCTCCTGTTTATGACACCCACAGGGGCCACATTTCATAGCAGGGTCACACAATACATCTCATAAACAATACATACATGCATAACTATCGCCGCCTTCTCGCTCTACATAACCCACCTGCATAATATATGTGTATATATAATTATCCAAAAAAAAAAAATTAGCTTAAAACATTACAAAATAAAAGTGTAATTCAAAAAAAAATAGACAAAATTACAAAAATAAGTACGGCAATAACCAAATAAAATACCAAATAGAAATTGCCATAACATTATTTTATATAATATGAATATGATTTAATGTGAATTTGAACATTACAGAGAAACGGTGCTTTAACCACGAAAATAGACACTGCATGTAGACTGATTCTGTCATGTGCCATCACATTTATTTATGGTTAAAGGGTTAGTTCACCCAAAAATGAAAATTAAGTCATTAATTACTCACCCCCATGCTGTACCAACCCCGTAAGACCTTCGTTCGTCTTCGGAACACAAATGAAGATATTTTTGATTAAATTTGAGAGCTGTATAACTACCACATTGGCTCCTAAGGGACTGCCTCTTGACAGCCCAGAAAGTCAATGAAGAAAATGTTTAAATATCCCAAGTGACTACCGTGGCTCAACTATATGTTTATCAAGTGACGAGAATACTTTTTGTGCGAAAAAACAAACAAAAATAACGAGTTTATTCGACTATTCCTTTTCTTCCTTGTAGGCCAGAAACGAGACTTCCTTAGATTTCCACGACGCATGCGCGAGAATTGCGATCTGCTTACACTACTTCAGTTCAATTACGGGCATTACGGGGTTGGTACAGCATGGGGGTGAGTAATTAATGACTTAATTTTCATTTTTGGGTGAACTAACCCTTTAAAGCCCTTTTTCTTGAATTTTTGCGACATTTAAAGTATGGATATAGAATGTTTGTGCTAAAGTGAAACACAAAAGAGTGTGTCTACATTTGAGAGATTTTATCAATAAATCAGCTATTTCAGTAACCATTCTGATTGCGGTAAACCTAAAAATCTAGGATGGGAATAGATGAACGGATGGCTAGAATTAAGTGATTGAGAACATAAAGGAAAAAATTAAAAATCGCTACAACTGAACCAAACAATCTTCCATGTCGCAGTCTAACAGCCCATCATGGGTCTTTGCTTCACAAACACTAACACACTCACACACACCCATACAGCTGTCTGCAGCCACTAAGATTTAGGCCCCTGATTATATATTCATACAGATGAATCAATAAGGCCTCGCAGCAACTGAAAGACTAGAGGAATTACAATGAGCCCACGTCAATAGACTACAGCTTTACATTTCATTAGGGCCAGACCCACACTTTAGCACTAAATGAATAGCAATAAAACAGCACCGCCGGCACAAACACACATCCAAGATCCAGAGCTGGTCCATCTCTTACAGCTCGGCTCTTGAGAGCTCACACATATTTGGCTAAGGCTCTGCAAAGGAACTGGATTGACTGACGTGGTCGAGCACTGAAAGGAGCAGGAACTAGATTGGTACTCAATTAACTGACACGTGCCATCAACATTATGTACATACACCTTTCTAGCTTTCACCTCATTTGGAACCTAGACACACACAGTCTATGTGCACACGGGCCATTGATTTCTGTATAATGACACAGGCAGTCCTGTCCAACTTGGGGCCGCTACAGGAAGAGCAAGGTGGAGGAGAAATGCGATTCCGATCATGGGATATCACTCGACATCCGCTGATCCCCCCCCTCACCACCCCCGCGCACAACCTATATCCAGCCAGCGGTTTAGACATCACACCGGGGTCATATACAAGGACTGAGACAGGATTACTGCATACTTCAGCACAAGCACGTTTGTGTAGAAGTGTGTGTGCATGTGGCTGGTTTTCATTTTCTTGAGAGCAAATGTGCCTGACTTTTAGTAGTCTAATACAATTAAAACAGTACTTTGGCGGTACCAAGATTCACTGATGGTATCACTTGGTATTACCTTGGTACTTTGAAACCATGGTTACGTATGGTATTTACATAGCACTGTGAAATATTTCAAAGAATACAAATGTTATTACCATCATTTGTATTAGTGTTCAAAACCAAGGTATATTATTTTAGTAATCATGTCAATCACAAACAAAACAAAAAAAAATACCGTACCACTTAATTTTGAAGTACCTAGGGATTCCATGTAAACACTATAAATACAGAAATGTCCTATGACGAAAATATATTTATAAACTCAAAAATCAAATCTATTCTATTGTCCAACCACAACATTATTTCAGTCCGACGAAGACACCATACTAAAACCTTTACGAACATTACGACATCCGACCTCAAATGAACATGTGCAATCGCATTACCTCCAAAACCAAAAATTAAGCATGCGGCTCACCTTCTTCATCCTGCCGCTACGGGTGCCGGTGAAGGCTACGGTGTGCCCGCGATAATCATACGCCGCCACTGACGTCATCCCATCGTCTTTGTCCAGGAACAAAGGGATCCCCTCGATCGTAGTGGTGCCCCCTAGAGGCTGGTTGAAGTCCTGGCCACAAAAGTTGTCATCTATCTGCAGAGGCTGTAGGGAGAGATAAGTAAAAGGCAGAGATGTTAAAGTAGTTAGTGAGTGGGAGTTGGGAGCGATGGTGGCTGGTAAGTATGGCATTTTCTATCATCTTAAGCTTCTGCAATACCAATCCATTCCTTTATATTCCTTTGGGTCATTAAAGGCATACTGTATTTTCTGTCCTACTGAATCAGCCAGAGGCCCACACTCATACAGATATATCGCAGGATGAGTCCTAGTGCTTGTGCTGCTAGAAGAACGACGGAAAATATAGAGGACCTGAGGGAAAATCATTCTCAGCTCTTAACTCCTTTATGTGGACATGGCCAACATCAAATGTCGCAATTGCAATTCAATGCCTAATGCACAAACAATCCCTTACAGTCCCACACAATGCACAAAGTGTCCTAGGAGACGTCCTCCCTTTTCTGGACGACAGACTGGACTCATTAGTAGAGACAAAAGTGGCCATGACCCATAGTGCCCCGCATGGCTGCCCAACGGTGCCCCTCATCCTTCACCCAGCGAGGGGTGCCGCTGCTGCCAAGGATGACCCGTTCCAGGCAGCGGGAAGGATATTCAGCCTCCCGAACACTGTAGTGGACCAGCGCTGTGCCCTACAACACAAGAGAGCATGTTCTTCCCAAACCCCATGGGAGATGCCGAGATTTGCTCTGTAAATAGAACGAACAGAAGGGGATTGGACAAACAGATCAAGTGCATCCCTAAGGTTAGCGACCGTCTGGGTCAGACCGACCACCCTGCACCTACTGTAATTACAATCGGCCGGACTCATCTCCTGAGAGAAAACGTTTGTTGCTCACCATCCGCAATTATTGCCGCTAGGTGTTATTCTCAGTTTGATGAGGAAACATTATGTTGGCAGAGTTAATGACGCTGATAATGGCGGTTAATGCAAGCCAACCAATGATGCTGGAAATACCACTTGCGTTAGCAAAGCTTGAAAAGTGCTGGCAAAGACAAGGTCGTAGGGACAAGCTACGACTTATGGCATGTACTGAGTGGATGATTCGTGTATCAGGGTGTGCAAAAAATTCAGATTTAAAGAACTGAAATATCACAGGAAGTTGATCTGGAAAAACAGGAAGGTGAATGTCCTAAATTGCAATTCAACACAGCATTCGGGGAAAGGAAGTGTTCTTCTGATTTATTTTGACTGAGTCTTCTTCCTTACATAAAAACTTCAAATGTTGGCTACCTCAAATTACATTTAGGTATTGAAATTTTATAAAGCAATCCCAATTCAATTCTTACTTAATTTAGAAAATGCTACACATGTATACAGCACTAAACAAGCACATTTAAACGCACAGCTGAAATGTATTGCTTTTACCTCCTATTCAGTGCCCCATTTAAAAACTGCAGAAATAACAAGGCAGTCACCCATAGCCAGTGACCGCGACTGGCAGCGATGCATTTCTATCAGAGATTCTCCACTATGCCTCATGTAGATTTCGTCTTTTTACCCTTCTTAACTCAAATTACAGCCTCATTTTGGGGCAAAGGGAGAGGGGACTACATAATGTGGACTGCATAGAGGAGGAGCTGACGGGTGTCCTGACCCGAAAAGGAATTTCTCCCACAAATTTCGAATTCGAATCAGGGCGTTAAGAGACACGGGGATGTTAACCAGTTAAACACAGACACCATGCGACCACAGTTTTTTGGGCTGGACTGAGAGTGTCATCTTCAATATCCGTGGAATGTGAGGGGGATGACAGCTGAGATGGAAGGGGGCTGAAATGCCTCTGACAGGCTGGACAGGAAGGAGATGTCTCAGAATTCAGTCAGAGAGCATGAACAAGAAAAACTTAAGAGCCCATCTGTGCTGCTGCCACTGAAGATCAAAACTGACTCTACATGATGATATTTTCCCCCAACAACTGTTCTCATGTCAACAAACGTACTAAATTCCAAATGTATTATTTACTCATTTCGGAATTCAGAAGGATGTTTCAAGCTGACCTTAAAGACATAGTTCACACAAAAATAAAAAATTCTGTTATCATGCTGTTCTAAAGCTGTGTGACTATTTTTCTGGAAAACAAAACAGGATTTTTTTTTTTTTTTTTTTTTTTGCAAACTACGTAGTGCCGTCAAGCTCCAAAAAGGACAATAAAAGTATTATAAAAGGGATTCATAGAGCTTGTGCATTATATTCCAAGTTTGCTGAAGTCATAGAATAGTTTTTATGAGGAACAGAAATTATTGCTAGCGACTGATAAAACTCCCCTCAGGGGAGAGGTTGACTGCTACAACTGAATCGCTGAGTCAGTGAGTTGAACCATCATCTGATTTGCTGTAAAGACCTGATTCTAAGAGACAATTGATTCAATAATCAGACATGATTACTTTTCTTATGCTAAGGAGAGCTACAGTACATCACTTCAGTAAATAATGACTTTGACTTTTGGCCTGTTCCACATCAAAAAAAAAAAAAAAAAAACGATCACATGATTTCAAAAGACTTGGAATATAGCATGAGTCATTTAAGCTGTAAATTATGGTAATTTTTGGGTAATTTTGGAGCTTAACAGAAGCAATCCTCAATCACTTTCATTAAACAGAAAAGGCCCATATTCACCTAAAAAAAATCTTCCACAAAAAAAAAGTCAGTCCTACAGGTTTGGAACGACATGAGGTTGAGTAAATAACAACAGAATGTTCCGTTTCGGTTGCAGTAAATCTGTCTAAAGTCTAAAAATACCCATCAACAGCATGGAAGGTATAAGACAAGGAAGCTGTTGTGTAAATGTATTACCTAATAAAACAATGCCCTCTTATGAGAAGCACAAATATTACCCAACATTCTGAGTAAAGCCTGGTTGATTCAGTTTAGCTGATGACTAAGCACCTGATTTCAAGTGACCCAATGTAGACCAGTGGGAAAGAAGAATGTGATGCCAACCCACCTCTGCTCACACACACACACACACACACACACACCTCAGAGAGCAGCTGTAATCCTGATGTCTTATCGTTACACCATCTGATCGATCTCAAAGCAGACACGATCCAACTCTATCCTCTATCAGTCCATCTCTTTCTTTTCCTGCCTCTCGATCTGTCCAATGATAGCCTTAGGGATCGATGAGGGAGGCAGGATTTGACAGAGGGGGATGTGATGGACACGTCTCAAAGGGTTAATCTGGCAGCATGTTTCTGAGATGCCGCAGGCCTGATCCCGAGAGACTGACACCTGATGGATCAGGTATTTTGGGAGAACATACACAAGAGAGATGCAAAGTTCTCAGTCATCTTTTAGACAGATGAAAACAGTTGTGCTTAAACACACTTTGGTAATATTCCATTTTTAATTCAATGCATTCAGATGTCACTCTCACAAAAATACCAAAAGGAATCTGACTTCGGTTAATCATTCATATTATTCTGTTTAAAATTTGGTTAGTCATTATTAATATGTGTGTTCTGAGACATATACAGTATATATATATATATATATATATATATATATATATGAAGAGTTCAGATGCAAAAGCCTCTAAGTGCCATTTGAAATTTTCTTCTAAAATGATCATTTTTATCAAGCCTGTATATTTAAGTTCAGTAATTTCACTTAAATGGCAATGAAGATTACCTATTAATTGTCATTTAAGTGAAATTAATGGCATTTAGAGGCTTTTGCAACTGAACTCTTCATATATATATATATATATATATATATATATATACACACACATACATATATATACATATATATATACATATATACACACACACACATATATACATACAGTATGTGAAGAGTTCAGATGCAAAAGCCTCTAAGTGCCATTTGAAATTTTCTTCTAGAATGATCATTTTTATCAAGCTTGTATATTTAAGTTCAGTAATTTCACTTAAATGGCAATGATAATTACCTATTAATTGTTATTTAAGTGAAATTACTGAACTTAAATATACAAGTTTAATAAAAATCATCATTAAAGAAGAAAATTTCAAATGGCATTTAGAGGCTTTTGCATCTGAACTCTTCATATATATATATATATATATATATATATACACACACACATATACATATATTTATATATATATATATATATATATATATATATATATATATATATATATTCCAAGGTGGGCAGCCATGTGACGAGTGTGTTTGTTTTACGTATGTGCTCGATTGTCCTTAAACGCGTTTCTGTTGATGCGCGTCTATGCGTGTGCTTGTCCTTAAATGTGTTTGTAGTTGGAACACATAAATGAAGATAAAGAGAGGCTGCCAAAATCTTTGGACGCATGGCCTAAGAGAAAGGGAGAGAGCGAGAGATGAGTGGAGGGATGGCAGGCTGCCAGCCTCCTGTTTTGATTGGTGATGGTGGAAATGCAGCGGCTCAGCCGTTTGCCCTTTGTTTCTTTCAAACAGCCAATGGAGGCTCTCTAATTGGGTCTTAATGGTGCTCGCGCTAAAGCGAGCCAGAATTCAGGCACTCTCTCCGCTGTTCTCTCTGGCATTAACAGCATCAGACAGGAGAACATCACAGATTCCCAAAGCATCTGAGGCTTATCTAAAAATACACGTCATATTAGCATGGCCATCATGAGCTCTCGTTCAGCTTTATATAATGGTGTTATTTATAAAGCTGCTTCCACTAAGCAATCCTATTGACCCTAAGTCCTTTAGTAGGACGTAATGTATTTAGGTTGTCCGTCCCGTCATTTGATTAAGGAAAATGCTATGACTTTCATGTAGCTCAACTGGTAGAGCAACACTGGAGGTCTCGGGTCTTAGCTAGACGCTAATGTTCATTCTGTGAAAAATCAAAACGCATTGTGTAGTTGACATAACATGTCTGTTGACATTTTATTTTACTCATCATTTACTCTTAAGTTTTTTCCCTATTTTTAAATATTTAAAAATCTTTTTTTTTTGCATATATGTTTATCTCTAATTCATTGAAAGTGGTCAACTGTTTTGTTAATCTCAATTAACATGAGCTCATAATAAACCACATGTACACTACCAT